TAATTAACTCAAAATTCTTAAAACATTAAATAGTTTTAAAATAAGATATATTGATATATTTACGAATAGAATAAAACTAATTATTTATAATATCAAATCATATTAGTTTTCTTTAAATTTAAAACTCTTGAAATTAAAAAAAATAACTAAATTAATTACTACATTTGAAATTATCTTCAAGTTCATATAATGAATTCAATCTATTGAGAAAATTAATTAATTATATTCTTATATTTTATATTTAAATTAAGAAATAAATTAATAGTTCTGTCAAGTTTATAGCATTAAGTATAATAAAAAAACAAAATTCACTTATTGTGAAAATTAATACTTAATTTAGAAAATTATGAAATCAAATTAGATTAAGATATTTTCTATTTGTAATAATTAACTTTCATTTTACCAACAGAATAAGCCAAAGCTATTTTAATAGTTAAAGGTAATCTTTCAGGAACAGAAACAACAATAATAGTAACAGAGACAATAAAGAAATTTAATTCTTATATAAAATCAACTGAAAATAATGGATATTCATTAGATAGTTAATACAAATTTATGCTTTTCAAGAAATCAATATCTAAATTATAAAGCATCTTTAAGAACCTAAGGAAAAATAGGTTTGAAAACAACTTAATCGATTCCAGCTTCTTAACAAAGTTATTTAGTTTCTTCATCTTCGTGTGCTGTGCAGGCAATAATCTAAAACGGTATAATTTTTTCTTAATCAATTAAATTAGTTATAATTTAAGATGCTTATATGCCATTCATGATTGGCATATCTATATCCATCAATATAGTTCGAATGCATTTTTATTGTGTTACTAAATTAACTACTTCTTATCCATTATAACAATGTATAATTTAATCGTATCCGAGATTCTTAAGAATCATTTCTAATGTTATATGATTAAATGGTTCATCATCCACAATTATAATGTTTCCAGTTTCTGCCACTAAATTTTAAGTGCTTCTTTTTTGGATAAATTAGAATGACGGTATAGATTTGCGACTTTTAGATTGTTACCTGGAAAATGATCGAGTAAGATTAATATTAGTTTTTAATTTACTAGGTTTAATTCTATCAATTTTTCTGATCTTAGCAGCAATTACTAATTCATCATTAATTTGGTCATTTTAAATTGTAAAAAATTCTTAGATTTAATTATTTGATCTAGCTGATTCATTCCTTCTTTATCTTGAAGCAGATTACAATTAATATGCACTAGGCAAATCTAAATCACAAATTGAGAATTCGAATTTACATCCTTATCCTGGACTACTTTCTATGATAAGAGGACAAGCCCCATTAAGTAAATTGATTAGTTTTGTAGTTATTTTTAAACTTATACCAAGAACTTCATTTTTAAGATTCATTTAAGAATAGCTCCTTCCTCTTTCTAAAGATTGAGTTTATAGCATACTTTACTTCAATATAATAAGATTTATTACCTTTCTAGAACTCAATGTTTATTATTGATGAATCTGTATTTATTTATTTATTTCATCTTATGCCTGTTTACTCAATCCAACACCATTATCAGATACAATAAATTTAATCATTCGAGAACTCGCAGTTTTAATTTCTTTAACATTTAATTCTATTTGACCACCTTAAGGAGTGAATCGATAAGCGTTATTCAATAGATTAATTAATATTCTCATTAATTTGTTCAAGTCAGATTATATATAACAACTACTAAAAATAATTAACAATAAGTTTACATTTCTTTTTTCTCAGCCTGAATCTAACTGATATCTTCATTATTATATTTTATTGTAAATAAAATACCTTTTAAACTACATTATGTCATAATTAAATCTTTTATTTCAAATAGTAATTTGTGAATATCTATGATTTTAATAGACAAAAATTGTTTTTATTAAGAGTATATTGACACATAGTCAAGGATATCCTAAATAAGATACAATAAAATTTTCGAGTTCCAATAACAAGGTTTTATAAAAGTTTCAATCAAATCTTTTGGAATACATTAATTACTAAGGCATGTTTCTAAATAAGTAATAACAGAGTTTAGAGGTGTTTTCAATTTATGACTTAATGAACTTATAAGACTATTTCTAAACTTATAATCTTTTTTAAAAGCACTATATATTGATATATCATTAATTAACTAAATATAAATAGATATTACTTAAAAAGTAAACAAATTTAAAGGTTATTTATTATGGATTATTTGTGTAAACTTTAAATGATACTTAAACTTTTCTAAATTTTATCCAAGTAGTTTGATTTTGTAATAAATTGATTCATCATCTTTTTGTTGATCAACACCGTTTTAAATTATTTATCTGATTGTTACACTTTGTTTATTAATGGTGTCATTTATGGTATATTCAGATACTTTAACATCATCTAAAAATTAAATATTTGATTTTTAATGGTGGTTGTTACATATCAATCTCATACTCTAAGAATTTTAAAATTCAGATCGATGTGCACTATAAATTCCATTTTCTATCACTTATGAAGGTTCAATCATTGCTTCTATAAAATCCATATATTAGCTACGATAAATTAGCTTTAAGTTTTGATCATACGCAAGAATTCCTAAATTTAATTTATAAATAATATCATTAAGAAGTTCTAATTGTTAATTTTTCTCCTCATAAAGACATTTATAATTCTAAATGAGTTTATGCTCTGTAATTTAAATCGCAAAATCATTTAACAAAGCTATTATCAAGAAAAATAATTAAAATAATAGTGAATCTTTGTTCTTTTCAAGTTTTTGTGGTGTTAATAATTATTGAATCAAAAATCCACAATACAAAAAAGGCAGCACAATTTTTAAAAAATACCATCTTAGGGTTCCTTAAAATAAGTGAAAGAGGATTGATATGTAAAAATACCCAAAATAATTATTTGTTTCATGATTATTAAAAGCTTCATAGAAACACTTTGCAATAAAGAAAGCTATAAAAGCAATATCCATAATAAGCATTTTAGATTCTTGTTTTTTTTCAAAGTGATAAATTATCAAAATAAACAGAGCTATAGTAATTTCACTATATTTTTACCTAAAAGTATTAGATGCATGCTTAAGTTAAACCATAAAGTCTTCCAAGTTATGAATTCATAATTAAAAGTGACAATAAATAGAAATATAAGATCAGATGTGCATGTTATTATTAAAGCTAGATATCTAAAACCGATTATATTTTAGACCCTAAACATATATAAATTTTGTAATTAATAAAAAAATTAAACCAATTATAACTTTCAGATCCTTAATCTCGATCATATCCAGTATAGACTCTTTAAAAAAAAAATAATTTAATAATCATTGTCTTTGTCAAAAGTCTTTCGCATTATTAAAAATTCTTTTCAATGTGATAATTTAAATAGCATTGAGGAAAGAAAAAACCGAAGAATTATTGAGATATAGATAGATAGTATCAGTAGATTTTTTAATTTAATTTAAACTTAATTGATTTAATTTTCAAATATGAATTACTTTTTTTTCTAATCCGTAAGAAAGGTAAGACTTAATTGGAATCCTTCAAACAAGCTTTATAGATTTTTTCTTTATTTGGAATTTCAGAATGAGTTGTTAATTTGCTTTAAAACATACTATAATTATAGAAGTATTATTCAAAAAAATTCAATCAACTCACTTTCTCATTTATAAGCCATTAAAGTTGAAGGTTATAACAGAAGGCTCTTAAAGTCATTATAAATTTATTAAGTAAATTAGGTACTTGAAATTAAATAAAAAAATCCATAAATTGAAGGTGTTTTTTTATTTAATTGAATTTTAAATATTAGCTTATATATGAATCATCTGTCATTGTAATGTATCATCATTAATAATTATTTTTATTATTTATATATTATTTTTCATATGTGATTTAAATTGCTTTCACTCCTTTTTTGTTATATTATCTTCTTTTTCAACTGGTTGAGTATGTTTTAAGTTTTTCATGCTATCCTCTTGTAGTTGTATTGAGGATATTTATCAACCATTCTTTATTAGGTAACCCTTTCTCAAATCGATAATTTGCTTAAGGGCATGAAGCAAGAACGAACTTAATAAAGCTTTCTCTTTGAAACACTTTACACAAAAATCCTTATTTTATTTCACCTTTTTTGATCCGAAAAATTTGTTAGTAGTTACTAAAAACAAATAGCTGCAAGGTGTGCATCCTGATTTGAGTTGTAGAAGGTGCCAGCTTTACATATAAAGTCCCTACCATGCTGGCTCAAGTCCCCTAGTATTTAATCTTCTTAGGCATAGACACTAAATAACTAAAAAACCATAGGTAAATTGGTAATATATAATAGGTGAGTAAAGGAGCCAAAAAGCCACCAATTTAAAATTAAGGGAGTTTATAGCTAGTGTTATTGCAAGGATTGTGATTCAGAGTTTGATATAATACTTGAATTATAAATTCAAAATTTAAAAAAAATTTTAAACAAATGCCGTTGTTGTAGTATAATTATTATATTTATAAGAGATTTATTTAGTAAATTTTTTGAGATTTTTTCAGATTTGATCACTATCTTAATTTAATTTAATTTTATAAAGATTAAATTTCTTTTGCACTAATTGATTGATCAATTGTTTTATTCTTATAAAAATAGTTCTTCAATAATTTGTAGAATAAATTAACTATTTAGCTTAATAATATAGTAAACACCTAGTCCAAGAATTTTTATCTTGGACCAAATTATCTCTTATTTTGCTACTTCCTTATTAAATATTAATTGTTTATTTTTCTCAATTTAATTTCATAAAATATGTATTAAATATTAAGATTTCATCAATTAATCTTCAGTTTCTTATTGGTAATTCTAAAAATTGTCCTCATCTTCTTTAAAATTCTGGATTTATATTAAATTTTTAAACTTTCATCTGATTGATATTCGATATTCTTCTGAATCTCTATTTAATTTTCTAATCTGGCCATAATAACCTTGAATTCTAAAAGATGATATTATAAACTAAAAATTATTGGTTTATCGTTTGTCCTATATTAGAATGTCTATTTAGTGTCTTCAATCTAATTTAAAATCATATAATTATAATTTGCCTTAAAGACACTTAAATTTAAATTCAGGATAGTTTTCTTTCATTGATTAAAAGTTTATCTAAATATATTTTATTTTTTTTTTCATTATACTTCATCATCGAAGCGAAATTTTCCTATTGATACTTCTTTTATTTTTTCGAAAGTTTTTTTATTAGTTTATTTGTTTTTAGTTTTTTGTCTCAAAAATATTGGAATTAATTGGAAAGTTCATATGTTCTAAAATATAATAAATAAATTTTTACACAAAAATTAATGTTCTCATTAAAATATTTTTATAACATATATATTAAAATGCACATCCTTTCTAATAAATATATATTATATAAATTAAGGATTTTATCATAAAAAGGAAAAGATGAAATTTTATTAATTTATAGAGATTAACGCAAAAGTTAGAAAAAAATAAAATTCATTAATACAAATAATTCGATAAATTTAAAATTATTTTAAGTCCTATCAAGATAAATTGAAGATAAGATCTTAAAGAAAAATTAATTTAGTGGTAAAATTTACTACTTTTTATGAAATTAATTAACCATATAAAAATTAAAATAAATATTAGGATGGGTTGTTGTTAAGGAAATAAATAAGGTTTAAACTTTAACGATATTTTTAGATATGGACTAATAGAATGAATAGGTAAAAGAATTGATTGAGTATTAATAACCAGAATATAAAGCAAATATTTTGGATTTAAATTCTGAGGTATATAAAGTGGAATAGATTTAGGAGAGAAATGGGGAGGCAGACCAAACACAAAAAAAAGAAACTAATTATTCTTAGGAAATAAAAAGTGCAAAAAAGGAAGAGAATTCATAAACAAGGTCGATAGTTTAATAGTAAGAATAAGAGAAATAATGGGCAATAAAACAGACAATGTTTGTAAGGATAAATTCTAAGAAAAATGTCAGTGAATTTTATGTTATAAAAGAAATGTTAGGAGAAGGGGGATTTGGGAAAGTTTATAAAGCTGTTCATAGATAAACAGGTTTCAATTTATCGAATAAGAATAGGTATGATTAGAGCAATAAAATTAATTTTAAAATCAAAATTGAATAAAGAAGATTAAGAAAAGTTATTGGAAGAAACGAGTATATTGATGGATATAGATCATCCAAATATTGTGAAGTTATATGAAATGTTTTAAGATGAAAATTCTTATTACTTAATAAGTGAATACTGTGATGGTAAATCATATTAAAATTTCATATGAAAGGAGGTGAACTATTTGAAAAAATAAAGTTTGTTCAAATTTTGACAGAGAAAGAAATAGCATCTTATATGAAATAAATATTATCAGCAGTTTCTTACTGTCATTCTAAGGGAATAGTTCATAGAGATTTAAAACCAGAAAATATTTTATTTGATTCTAAAAGTTAAGGAGCAACATTAAAAATTATAGATTTTGGCGCAAGTGCGAAATTAAAGGAGGATGAAAAACTAAATAAAAAAATAGGAACAGTAATTATAATCAATTTATAATTTAGCCATTCTATGTTGCTCCAGAGGTTTTAAATGGGAGCTATGATGAAAAATGCGATATATGGTCATTGGGAGTTGTTCTCTATATATTGCTTTGTGGATATCCTCCATTTTTTGGACATAGCGAAGAAGAAGTATTGGCTAAAGTGAGAAAAGGTACATATCAATTTGACAGTAATGATTGGTCTAGAGTGTCTATGCAAGCTAAAGATTTAATTAGAAGAATGCTATTTTATGATCCCTCATTCAGAATAGGAGCTTCTGATGCTTATTAACATGCTTGGATTTCAAATAATAAAGCTAAAGGTTAAGTCAATAATTTAAGTTTAAAAAGATTATAAGATTTTGATTCAAAAAATAAATTGAAGTATGCCATCCTTTAATTTATTACTGTCTAAGTAGTTTCAAATCAATAAAAAAATGATTTATAAAAAATATTTCTAGATATTGATAGAAATGGTGATGGCACTGTTAGTAAAGAAGAATTACTAGCAGGTATTTTTATTTCTTACAACTAGCTTACTTAAAGATGTATAAAGGAGACACTATAGCAGCATAGCATATAGTTGAAGAATTATTTCCTTAACTTGATGCCAATAAATCTGGGAAAGTGGATTTTAGCGAATTCATCTCAGCCTCAATCAATAGAGACAAAACATTAAGCAAAAAAAAAATTGAACAATCATTTAAATTGTTTGATCTAGATGGCAATGGATATATTACGAAATAAGAGATCAATGAATTATTTGGAAATGAAATAGATGAAAAAATGTGGGAGGATATTTTAAAGGACTGCGATATTAATTAAGATGGAATGGTTTTTATTACTTAATAATTTAGATCTCCCTAAATGAATTTATTACTTTGTTGGAATCTACAATATAATAAAATTCAAAACTCAAACATTGAAAGTACTTAATTCTTAATTATTAATTTAAAAAATTTTATTTTATTCTATTATTATCCTAGAATTACCATATATGAAGAATATTTTATAAATTATAGATAAAAATACTCAAGTAACATAAGTTTATTTTATTTGTTGAGATGTTATATATTTTTTAAAATTTATAGAATAACATAAATTTTATACATAATTATTAAAAAAAATTAAAATTTAAAAATTTTGCACCTATCGGGACTTGAACCCGACCTAGATGCTTGGGGGGCATCTGTACTAACCTCTATACGATGGGTGCAAGTTAATTAATTTGGGGTTATATGAGAAAAATATAAAATTCTTGATTTTATCATTATATTTATTAAACTTTTATTTTTAAGTTTCTATATTATTTCAATCTCTCTCTGATAAATTCCGTAAGCCTTAATCACAATATCTGTACTATCTGTGTTATCATAGTTCTTTACAATTTGTTAGGCCAAAATATTATTTAAGCATAAATGAAGGATAGAACTCTATATTTATATTAACAAAATTAGTAAATACAAATTTTAAATATGTAGCTAAAGAAAATAAATTTCTAAATCAATTAATCCATTTTTTTGTGTTCTAGTTATTAATCTAATTTTTAAATTTCAGTGCCAGATCAATTTTAACGGGTTAAAAGCAATATATTTTGAGTTCATTGCTTAATTATCTCATTAAGTATGAATTAATTAAAGAAATTCAGATTAGAAGTCTCTTTCAAGCCAAAAAATACAAGCAGCAGAAAATTCTCAAGAAAAAGAAAATAAATTAGGGATTAGTGATAATATAATCATATTCTAATTATAAATGATAGTCGCTTTATTAAATTAATTAGCCTATTTACAACAACCATAGGAATAAAATTAATGATCATTATTAAATTATAATTAATAATAAAAGTAAATAAGACAAGAAAAAAAATAAATATTTATAGTTTTTATAACCATCATAATTCAGAACCCAAAATATTTTAAAAATCATTTATCATAATTGTTATTAAACAAATCTTTCTCTCTCTCTATAAATTTAAATTTAAGCACTAATCAAAGATTTTTGCTAATTAATAAGTACTCTTAGAATTTAATTGGATTAATTTCAATTATTATTTTATACATTATAAGGCTTAGCTTTGTAAGAAAATAAAGAAGTAATTATATAATAGTAATCATTAAATAGAATTCAATTTTGTTGTACATTTGTTAGAAAATGAACCAGAATTTTTATAACTTTTCTAACACCATAAATTCTAAGAAATTATCAATCTTTGAAAATTATTGAAATTTTAGTAAATAATTAAAAATAATTTAAGTATTATAACATGTATGATAAATCAAAGGCTTTATTCATTTAGATTTAATAAATTCTATTAGAAAAAAATTAAATCTGATAAAAATAATCTAATATTATTTATCAAAAAAATTAGTTTATTAGAATAGATAAAAAATTCATACTGATCTATGTTATAAAATTCAAAAAACAAAATGTTAATTTAGCAAAGTTTTTATTGAGATATTAATTTGAAAATATTATAAAATAAAAATAAAAAATGAACTCTCAATCACTTGAAGCAACGAAAACATAGAGTGTAAAGGACTATAAAGCACAGCATAAATTAGAAGACAGAAAGAAAAGAGTCTAGCAATATAAAGAAAAATACCCAGAAATGACACCGATGGTTGTTTAAAAGCATCCAAAAGCCAAGATAATGTCATTAACAAGGCCTTAGTATTTGATTTAAATAAAATAGATTTTTGGTCAATTAAACAGTGAAGTTTTCAGATTTTAAAAACTAAATCAGAGCTAAACTCTAATTATCACCTTAATAAACATTGTTTTTTTATTGTGGAAATAATATAATATCTGATGGTATTGATTTCAATTAAATATAGATATTTCACTTTTTGAGTTATATAATAAATATAAAGATAGAGAAGATGAATTCTTGTATTTGAATTATTCAGATTGCGAAGTTTTTGGGAAATGAATTGATTTATATTCATAAAAATAGGTACATATGTACTATAATATATTTTAAAATCTATAAAATAATTGATTGAAGTATTTAAATATAGATAATTAGTTTTTTGATAAAAAGAGTGAACAGATAATTTTTAATTAAAAAATGGAAAACAAAAATTTATCAATATATTTGTTAAATTTTTTAACAAATGCTCTGATAAATTTTGATCATGGAATAATTCCAGCCTGCACAACAGATATGAAATTGGATTTGGGAATAGATGACGTGGGAGTAATATTTAAATTGATAATCTAATTTTAGTTAGGCCTAATGGGATCATCAGTTTATGGTGGACTTGTAATAGGTTCATTTTTGGGCACAGGAATATTCGATAAATATAAAACTAAACATATAGTCACAATCAGTGTCTTATGTTGCATATTAAGTTTATCTCTATTTATTCTAACCAAAAATATATTTCTCTTATTTTTATCTAGATTTTTAACAGGATTCTTTTAAGTATGCAATATTAATTTATTTGGTATTTTTAGTAATATTTTTCCCTGTTTGGATAGATTTATTTGGAGAAAATAATAAAACTATGTGGTTGACATATATGTAATTAGGAGTGGCTTTAGGAACAGTAGCAGGATATTTAGTAACTTCATTATCGCTTCATTTTTCATCAGATGTAATTCAAAAATAAAATTTATTAGTGGGTTTATCCATATTACTTGTAAATATTTTTACTAATTCCTTGTTTTTTATTTTATAGTTTTTGTAATGAAGAAATGTTAACTACAAAAAATCAAGAAAAAAGTATTATAAATTAAGAGGCATTTAAAACTATTTTTCTCAAAAATTTAAAAACTTTTTTTTCAAATCCAGTTTTTGTTTTTTCTATGTTATCATTAAGTTCATTATTTTTTGTAGTAACAGGAGTTTAATTTTGGATAACAGATTATCTTAGAAATGTTTTATTGATGTCTCATGAAGTTGTATTTAAATCATTTTTAATAATATCATTAACTGCACCTCTAAGTGGAGTATATTTAGGAGGTTTAATTTTACATAATTTTGGAGGATATGATGGATAAATGGCAATGAACATAGCAGCTATTGAAGCTTTATTCGCAAGTATATCAGGAGCATTTATTCCAGCTTTAAATAATGGTACATATGTCCTAATTTTTTTATGGTTTTTATTATTTTTTGGGGGAAGTGCTGTACCAGCAATTATAGGTATTATGATTACTTCAATTCCCAGAGATTAAAGATCAAGTGGAAATTCATTAAGTCATTTGTTTCAAGAACTTTTAGGATATTTACCTGCACCTGTTCTGTATGGTTATATTACATAAAAAACTGGAGGATCAACATCTCGTTGGGGAATGATTCTTCTCTCTATTTTTGGCTTTCTTGGTTTGTTCTATATTGTTTTAGGAAGGATTTTCAAATAAAAAACTACTGATATCAGTGTTAATTAGGAAGATTAAATTGAAAATTAAACTACACTGATACATAGAAATCATAATTTCAAATCTACTTCTTATAAAAGGTAGGCTTCAGTAAATTAAGCTTTATCTAATTTTTCATATCTTCTTGGCAGAGGCAGTCTTGATAATGATTTATTTTGCATTAAAAATGATCAGGATAGATAATAAATCCAAAATTATACAAAAGATATTGAACTATAAGTTGCTGGTGGATATTATCTTGTTAGTGAAGGAAGATATGTCAAATTTACAGAAGATTGATTGATTTATATCCATATTTTGTTCAAAATGTTACATTTATTCAAAATCAAATTTATATTATTAAATCCAAGATTTTCAGATTTTTTTACAAAACATATCAATAAATTCTAAATAATCTATTTCTCCATCATTATTTTTGTCAACCTCTTTTATTAAACTTTCACAAAATTGTTTTGAAATGAATTTAAATTAATCAACAGATTTCAATACATTTTATAGATTATCTACTGTTATTTTTCCAGTATTATTCAAATCAAATTATTTAAATGCCAAATAGCATTTCTCCTCTTTTAAAAATAATCTTTTCTCATAAATTTAATTTATAAAATCTATAAAGTAAAATCTAATCATTACTATGATAATTAATTTTATCATCAAGAATTTCAGAATGCTCTAAAATTAAATTGATTTCTTCATATTCTGGCTAATCTTTTAAAGTTTCTTTAATTGATGAAACTGATATAAATCCTTTTGAATTAACATCTAAATCCTCAAAGATTTTTTTTAATTTTTCTAAAGAATCCTTTTAAAGTTATTCAGATAAAAAATTCATCATAATCTAATTGTCAATTAATAATATACTCTTAATAAATGATTTTAGTTAGACAGTTCTTTCATTTATTTAAAATTTGGATTTAAAAAGATAGTTTTATCAATAGGAGTTTGGATCCAAGGATGCTTTAATATATCAAAAATTGTAATTCTTTTATACGGTTCAATAAGAATTTTAGATAATAAATCTGCAATAGGTTTTTCAACTTTTAAAGTTATTTCATAATTTTAAATTTGTTTGTATATATCAACATCTGTTTAGCCATTGAATGGTAATTCTCCAGTCAATAAAACATGTAAAATAACCCCAACTGACCAAATATCACATTTTTCCGTTAATCTTCCTTCAAATATTTCTGGAGCTGTATAATACAACTTACAATTAATATAATTTTACTTTTCCTTATCTTGAAGATTCTACAACAATTCCATTCTGTTTTTTAATATAATCATCTACATAAAGTAATTAAAATCCAAAATCAACTGCTTTTATTCTCATATCTTCTGCTTTTCTTTCAATATATAAAAATGATTCAGGCTATTATATATCTTAAGTATTTATTACTCTTAAATCTCGATGACATAAAGCATATTTATGACAAATATTAATGGATTAAATCATTTGCAAAAATAATTAACGAGCTTCTTCACCTGAGAGAACATATTTTTCGAGAATTTTTTCAAACAACGAACCACCTTCACATAGACTTAACTAAATTAATTTTGTTAAAAATACTCAATCACTATGTGTAGGTTCCTATCATCTTCATAAAGTTCATATATTTTAATAACATTCTCATGATTCTAATCATAATGAAAATATTTTTTACTATATTTTTTAGTTAGTTTATATCTGATTTCAATTTTTCTTTATGTTTAACTTTAGCCTTTGGAATAGTACGTATAGCTTTATAGACTTTTGATAATCTATCTTTAACTTTGATGATTTAACCAAATTTTCCTGATCCAAGAATCTTGTTTAATTTATTTATACTTTTTTTGTTTCCATTTCATATTTTATACTTAAACTTTAAGATTGACTCCACATGAACCATAATTATTTTGAATTCTTCATATTAAATTATTATAATCAAATTAACAACAGAACATAATTAATAACAAAAAAAACAAGAAAAGCCAAAATAAATACATTGAACGCAAATTAATTTCCTTCTCCTACACATTTACCAATCCATATACAATGGTGATCATAACCTCTGATACAAATGTTGCAATCTTTACAATGTATTGTTCCTTTAACTTTATTCATTTAACAAATTGAGCACCAATCTATTCATAATTAATTATTCAATACTCTCTAGAAAAATAGTATTTGATTATATGTAATTAATTCCTTGGTTTTTTAAAGAAGTAAATATGAAACTTAATATTAAAAACAATCCTGAACAACTTTACACAATTCTAAATAATATCTCGGTCTTATAGAATATGAATCCAATATAATAAGTTCCCAAAATCAAAATTACTATAAGAAACAAGGGAAATGGCCCTTCTATTAGAAAAAAAATAATTTACAATGAGGTCCTATTGTTATTAATGGCTCATCATTTCTAAACCAAAAGCAATATTAGTTTCCTTTTTTTCTTTTTAATTGTTTCACTTCAACTTAATTCAAAGGAATATTTTCATCCTCTAATGGACAATTTTCTTAGTCGTTCATATTTTAATTAACAATATTAACAATAAAATTTCACAAAAATTCTAATCATCTAAGTTAAATTGAGACAATAAATAATAATTTGTCTTTTAAAGAAATTAATTTTTAATCTATCATAAAATTACTCATCTCATATATATTTATTATGTTAAGAAATATTCTGTATTAATTGTCTAATCTTAATATATAAAATAAATAGTGTTATTCACATAGAAGATAGTTTACTCATAAAATCTTTTATTTTGTTTTCTCTAAAGATTATAGCACTTTCTCTTATTTATAATTCTTGTTGTTTTTCCTAAAGTGTTTTAAATTCTTTATTAATTCTTTTTTCAAGTAAAACTTGAGCAATATCAATATCAAATGATGGTTCTTACTCTTTTTATTCATAATTTAACTATATTTAAGTTTCTTCTGTTTGTGTTTATCTATTTACTAATGATAATTCTTTATTTATCAACTCCATTTCTTTTTCTCTTATTTATTTTTCAAAATTATATAATTTTTCTTCTTTGTTTTTCATTTCTTTATAAAATGAGTCTAATTAATTTTAAGCAGTATCAATTAATTTTTTTGCACTTTTAACATCATTTTTTAATGATTCTATTTCTATAGCTTATTTTAAATTAATTTATTGTTATTCTAATAATTTTTTCTCAAGCACTTAAATTTATTGTTAATGCTCTTCATAATAATCCAAACACAAAGATTAATTTTTTATTTCGCTTAATGGTGTTCTTTAATTCATAAAATAAATATCTGATATGCTTTTATTAGCAGATTTCATATTAAATTTAATTTAACAATTAAATATTTGATTGAAACTGCTAAAAATTATAGGGCAGAATGAAATGATAATAATAAATTTTAAATGCTTTTATGATTTACACTTAAAAGAACAATAAAAGCTTATTGTTTTAAGAAATTTATAGTTTTATAGGATCATTAGATGATAATAATAAAATAGACTTTTAAATTTTATTAGAATTAGTTTATATATAAATACTTAGAGAATACAAAAATGTCAAAAGTCATAAAAATTCCATTCTTAATATGGTTAAGCAGGATTTATCTCCTCATCCATTGATGACATTTTCCATTCAGAATTAAAAGTTTTTTATGTGAAATCATTTTCAAAATTATATGAATCAATCTAACTTGAAATAATATACTGGTCGATATCTATTGAAGCTTTTGAAACATCGTCATCTGCTTCAATTATCATATTATTCCAACTATCATTTTATGATTTAATCTGCTCTTTTTATATAATTTCTGGAGCAGCTATATTTGAAAGAGGATCCTTCTTTAAGAGTTATCTTAAATAACCCATTTTCATATGTAAACAATCTTTTATATTGATAATTTATGAAGCCTTTCGAATTATACTATAATAATCTTCCAAAGTTTTCTTTGAGCAACCTACTAGATTTGCAGCTTCTTTAAGAGAAGGCTTTATAAAATTTCCAGCATAATCTCTATACCCATTCTCAAATAAATCTCTCCATTATTAAACAAGGTTGTTTGCCTCATAAACATATCTCTCTTTAGATCTTCGTTATTTATCAATTAATGAGCTTTATTGCATCTTATTATTGCTTTTATAATAAAATTTTTCACCCTCTATTTGATATTTACAAATGGAAATATATTAATGGTATTTATCAGAATTCAAACGTATTCATTTATAAATATTGTTAAAATAAATAGAATTTAGCTCTTTACTATAAAAAGCCTTGAGTAATTTTTATATTTAACTTATTAAACACTCAAATTTAACTTTTATGGGAAATAAAGCAATATTTAGACTTTAAAATATAGTTTTAATTATAAAGACATCCTAAATTAGATGAGATCAATTTTTTATTTTTATTTTTCAAATGTTAACTTTCACTCTTTATATTCATTTAATTATTCTTATTATTCTTTCTATCAAACATATTTGATAAGATCCTCAAATAAATAATTTTTTATATTTTTATCTGCAAACCTGAAATAATGAGAGGGTTTTATAAATGTTTCTATACTCTCAATCGATGTAATAAATTGAATTTTAATTTATTTTTTAAAATGGCATAAAAAGAATAAATTGAATTTGATAAAAATTCAATAGATGATGAAACGGATTTTGTCCTTGATAAATTTGCAGAAGGATATCGTTTAGTAGAAATTAAAGGAGTTGTTAAAAATTATATAGAAGCTAGATACTAATAATCATTTATGGCTATTAGCAACAATGACTATAAAGTTTCTTATTATATCTACAAAAAATTGGAAAAAGTCTTAATAAAAGCATTAAAGAATTTTAATTAAGAACCTGATTTGCTAACTGAATATTAAAAAGTTATGGTAAAATACTAGTTTATAATAGCCTTATTTATTAGATGCCAATTAAACAGTTTCATCAAATGAAAAATTAATGATTCTTAAATTACCAACAGAAGTTCAAGTTTACCAAAAAGTAGAAGACATAGATTTTTATTACTTTCTACTAAAGTATATTATATAAACTCTTAATAATATTGGAGTTATATTGATGAGAAGAAAAAAAATTAAAGATGCTGAAAGTTATTTAATGAGAGCATTAGCAGCAAGAAGTTATGTGTTAGAGACTAATGTTTCTTAATTTTAGATGGGAGTATTATTAGAAAATTTGTGTTTTGTTTAATTGAACAAAGAAGATAAACAAGATGCTAAACTATTCATGACTAAAGCATTATTAATATTCGAATAATTATCATAGCCATAATATGAAAATGTTGAAACATGTATAAATTATAAAATTATGCTAAATTTGGTTGAGTAATTAAATTTTACCTAATTTTTAGAATTCTCTATAATTAGAATGAGGAATAATTATTATAATAGCCAAGAGAAATTTAGAAGGAAAGAATGATCCATTTACTTGCTATAACATATAATTATTATGGAGAAGTGTTTTAGTCATTAAATCTAAAAGATTAATAAAAATTTTGTTAAGAATAATTTTAATATTTATGCAATTTAATGGAAAAGTTGAATCCAAGAATAGCAGTAAAATAGAAAAAAATTAAGAATATTTAACCTTAGAATAAAGTAGAAGTTGATTAATCAACTGTTGAAATAGCTAAACATAAAATTAATTAAGTTTAAGTTAAAGTAGACAAAGTTGATAATAAACCAAATTAAGTAAACAGTGAATTTTTATAAAAAGAAAAAGAATAACTTCCATCTCATGTTTCAATAAATTAAGTTCTTTTTTAAAACTATATGTAAATTATTATTTCTAGATTAGTTAAATTCGAGTTTAAAGATTTAAAGTTATAATTTTATAATTAGAATTTTTTATTTAGATAATTATCTTTTCTAAGCCTTTGAATATAGAAAAAAGTCTTTATATTGTTGAAAATGATTTAACTGATTATCAAAAAAAACATTATCCTGATTCATTAAAATCAGCTGAATTATTATATGAATTTTTCAAGATGTAAATTAATAAAATATTTTAAGTTTGATTAAATTACTTTACTTTTAAGATAATTAACTTCACATTAAAGAAATAAGACATTTCCAAACCATCGAAGAATTCAATACATAATTAATTTGACCTTCAATTAAAAGTGAATTATTATAACAAAAATAGTAAGAAACTACCTTAAATAGTATTAAATTTTTTATTATTCATCGAGTTTGTTTTTTTAATTAAATTATGATTAAATATTTTATCATACATTAGAAAAAAACAAATAAAAATAAATTAAGTTGCAATATATATATCTAGAAAGGAATTCTAAAAATCTATTGATATATCATTTATTTGATTTATAAATGATTTTACTTTCAAATTTCAATATTTTTATTAATATATTAATATTATAATTGGGTTTAGAAAAAAATTTTTAATTCTTAAAAATAGGAATATTATATTTTTATTAGAAAAAATACAAATGCAAAATTTAATAAATTTATTAAAAGAGTCATATAATTAAGGGAGATTCGAAATGATCCATAAAATGATTTGAGATAAAGATTATTATTAATAATTATTTTGAAAAGGTTTTGTAAATAACCATTTACAATAAAGATGAAGAATAGAATATT